AAGCAAAATTGAGATCAAAAGTGAAGAATTTGCTCAAAAAATCAGTTCCTGCTTCATCTGTTTTACACAACATTGCTTGTAATTATAAATTGTGGAAAATCAGACATACTAAAAGGCAAACAAGTTTCTTTAGTAATTATCTTTTACGAGCTAAGTGTGCCACTTGTTCATTTGCATTTAATGCATCAAAAAGAAATCTTTTACTCTCTGGAGATGTTGAATTAAATCCAGGTCCTGTTGCAAAAGGCAAAACTGGTTCATTGGCATTAGTATCCAATACTACAGGTGATTTGCTCTTAAACTACAGGCTACTTAGACATGGATTAAGACCACTTGATGTTGGTGGAGGAGGCGACTGCTTTTTTAAGTCAGTATCACACCAGTTATATGGCGACTCCAACCATCACCTAGAAATTAGAGCATTGGCTGTCCAGTATTTGAGAAATAATCCTGAGCGATTTATAGAAAGCAATTTGGATGGATCATGGTTAAGTTATTTATCTTGTATCTCTATTCAAGGAACATGGGCTGATAACATTGTTATACAAGCTGTTGCAGATTCACTGAACTTAAGAATTTATATTGTCGAATCTAATGCAAATTTTTCAGATTTGACCCTGGTTGAATCTGTGAATACTGAGGTTGGAAGTATAAGGTCTATATATGTAGGTCACATTGGTGAACTGCATTATGTGTCAACTTTACCAGCTGAATTTGGAGTAAATTCAACTGAAACTGGAACTGAGAAGTCTCATGTAAATCTTGCATCTTGTGACTTTGGCATAAATCATAACCGTAAAAGAAAAGACAGTGACTACATGAAAGAATATAAAAAGAAGAGAAAAGCAGAAAAAGGCATTTCTAAGGAGGAAAGAGAAAAAAGTAATCAATACATGAAGAGTCATAGAGCAAGGAAAAAAGTATTGAGTTTTTTATTTCAAAGTTTCATGACATTGTCTCTTAAGGGCCATTGTATATTTGTACTTGCTGTGATCAAATGTTTTACAAAGTTAACGTAGTGTACTTCAGACTAGTAATCTAAGACAAAAGAATCCTGATATTCATAAATACCTTACAGGTAAGACAAGTGTCAACAATACTGAATGGGTTTGTCAAACATATGTTTCAAGTATTTGTATAAAAACAAAGGTCCACCATGTGCTATATAGTTAATGGATGCAATTTCCACATAAACCAGCATTCTTTGATCTATATGAACTAGAGTGTAGATTACTTGCACCCAGAATTGCTTTTCAAAAACTCATGCAGGCACCACGAGGAAGGCAACTTAAGATACATGGTAATATTGTTAATGTTCCAGCAGATGCGAATAACACCGTTAGTATGTTGCCACGCTTACCACATGAAACCGCAACAATTTAAAGTCAATTTGAAACGTAGGCTACAATACAAAAGTAGTGCATTATCATTAACTGTTAGACCAAATAAAGTTATCAAAGCTGCAATTTGGCTTTTGCACAACTGTGTTCTATATCAAGAGGAAGGTATTGCACTGAATGAAAACTGGTTACATAACTATAACGAAGCATTAACTGGAGACATTTGCATGAAACCACTGATGATGAGGATGTAGTCTTAACTGATAATAGGCAAATCAATGAAGAAACGTCACAAAATGATGAAGATGAATGGAGTGAGGAAAAAGTAGACATTTGTGCTGGTGTGGCTGATACTTTGCTAACACCACCAGACTTTGCAGATCATAATGAGCAGCAGTGCATTCTTAATCTCGCACCATCAGAGGGTAATATGCCACTGAGTGTATTCAGGGATGAATATTCTGAAGAATTGGCATATTCAGGAATATTTCTTGGACAGAAAAGGCCTGCATGGTCACAAAGATCGGTTAGTTAAAGTTCTTTACAGTGACATCTGTAAATCAGAATTGAGAAGGTCAGACCGTAGAGCTGCAAAAAATGTTGAAAACATTTTTTATAGAGCAAAAAAGTTGCAGATGAAAATTCTTTTAGGAAAATCACAAGTTGCTTTAAGAAAATGCCACAGAAATAATAAGTCTCTAAAGGCTGGCGATTTAAAAAATGATGGAGGATTAGAAAAACTAGTACATCATGATGAGGGATACAAATTCCTGAGAGCTTTACGAGGAAGCCCTCCATATTTTGAAAAAGTTAAGAGAGATCTAATTGCTATGATAAGACAACTGGGCACAGCTACTTTGTTTTGTAGTTTCTCATTAGCAGAAACACAATGGATTCACCTTCTTAGAATTCTTGGTCAATTGGTTGATCACAAGCAGTATAGCAATGATGAACTAGGAAATTTAAACTGGGAGGAAAAGTGTAGATTGATCCAAAGTGATCCAGTCACATGTGCTAGACATTTTGACTATGAGGTGAATAATTTCTTAAGACATTTTCTGCTAGGCAGTGCTGAACCATTAGGAAAAATATCTGACTGGTTTTATAGAGCTGAATATCAGCAAAGAGGTTCACCTCACATTCACATGATGATATGGATAGAAAATGCACCTGCATTTGGTGAAGACAGTGATAGCATAGTGACCTCATTTATTGATAAAATAATAACTTGTGAGAAGCCAGCAGACAATGCTGAATTATTGGAACTAGTTACCAGACAAATTCATAAACGTTCTCATACATGCCGTAAGAAATCTAAAAAGGAATTTAGGTTCAATTATCCTCAGCCTCCTATGAGGGAAACAATCATTCTGTATCCACTTTTTGAGAATGAAATACTAATGAGTGAAATAAAATCACACAAGGAATCATAAAAAGCATAAAACAATATTTGAATGACCTTAAAGAAGGTATGGATATCACTTTTGACAACTTACTTGTGCTCTTAAATATGACTGAAAGTGATTATATGTTAGCCATCAGATCATCAATTAAGACACCAACTGTATTTCTCAAAAGAAACCCTAACGAATTAAGGATAAATAATTACAATCCTGCTTGTCTTAGTGCATGGAGAGCTAATATGGATATTCAGTTTGTACTAGATGTGTATGCATGTGCTGTATACATAGCAAATTATATTTCAAAGGCTCAGAAAGGTATGAGTGAACTGTTACGACAGGCTTGTAATGAAGCAAAAAAGGGTAATTCCAACATTAAACAGCAAGTGAGAGATATCGGAAGCAAGTTTTTAAATAATGTTGAAATAAGTGCACAAGAAGCTGTATACATTGTTTTACAGCTTCCAATGCGTAAAGCATCTCGACAGGTTGTATTTATAAACACCTCACCTCCCAGTGAGAGAGTAAACCTTTTGAAGCCACTTAGTGATATTAAAGATATGGATGATGACTCTGAAGATATTTATACTGGTCATTTGATCAAAAGATACACAAAGCGACCAGCTAGTCTTGAACACCTTACTCTAGCAGACTGGGCTGCCTGGTATGATGGCGATACAAAACCATACCTTAAGCAGTCTAAAGAACTTGACTCTGATAGCCTTCTTTTAGAAGTAGCTCTTAATGAAGTTAACGATGATGATTATAATGATGATGATNAGTACATCAACAACAACAAAGAGTAGCAAAAGTAAAGACTCAGGTAAAAAAAAAAGCTTTTTTTATAAAGTAAATGGTTTGAACCCAGGAGTATCAATAGTTTGTATAGTGTGATCCGCGTGAAAGAAGTTCTAAAAATATGTTGGTGAATGACATTTCAACAACCTGTTTGCAAGTCATCTTTAGAGTCAAGTAAATAATAGTTGTCAGTTGATGATGTTGTAAAGTCTGATCCATAGACCACTTTCATAAATGGCTGCCGGATGAAAATTCTTTTGTTTAAATTTAAATTAGCCCTTCTGGCCTTGCTCGAGATAATGTATTCTTTTGAATTTTGTACCGGAGAACGAGGTCAGAAGGGCTAATTTAAATTTAAACAAAAGAATATTAAACTGCCAGCCATTCATGAAAGTGGTCTATGGCCAGTTAAGCCATGATCCAATTGGCTGTAAGACGTGTGTAGTTTGCCAACAGTCATTGGTCAGTTGTGATCCATCTAATGTTCATCAGTTTGTTTATGTCATTAATGAGTCTTTGGTAAGGTGGGTAGTTGTTGACATCTGTTGAGAGATGTGTCTGTGTTCTAAGTTTAAGTAACCCAGCTTTCCAGAGTCAGTTGTTGAAACTAGTTGGTACTGTATGTTAAGCATTTAGCAGAGTCCCACTCAGGATTCTGTGATTAATATGTCAGTGATCTTCATAAATGTGATAGTTTACATCACCATTTCTAGTCGCTTGTTTATGTTCAGTTAGTCTTGTGTTAAGGTTCCTACCAGTCTCTACAGTGTAGGATGCTAAGCAGTCGACAGAACGGCAGGGGCGGGAGATATAAACCTTGTCTGCAACTATAGAATTGACTGAGCCACAAATACAAAATTACTAAATTGTTCTTCTATTTTTCTTCCTAGACGAATCCATAGAAGGATATGTGCATTTGTTAACAGAGGCTCAAACAGCAAGAAATTCCACCACTAACTACTTCAACTGCCGCATTCAAACAGGGCAAGAGGAAGCAGTGCGTACTGTATGCTATTCACCTCAAAAGCGCATGAATTTAAACCAAGCATTCCTTAATAAATCACTAGTGAAGATTATTGGAGTGAAACAAACACCATCAAAAAGGTTCCATACACGAGAAGAATAATTTACCATTGCAAAACATGCGAAAATTTCTCCAGCTTCTCTGTCATTTTCCTTTAACGAAAGCTTTAGCAACCAGCTAAGCACAATTACTCAAGCACTAGGAAAAGATCTGTATCAAATTGTAGATGTCAAGGCCAAAGTCCTTAAGAAGGCGGAAAATAAACAAGTCATTATAAAAGATGGTGAGAAGGCAAAATATAAAAGCAATTGTCTTATAGCTGATGAAACTAACACGGTAAAACTGGTCGATAAAATTCATGCTGGGAAAACATACCATTTTAAACAATTAAAACTTGGCATTTTTGATGATGTCAAGTATTTAAAAACTAGTGAAGCCACTGACCCTCAAGAAATTGATGATTTACAGAACATCAATCTGACCACACAAGAAATAAAAGACAACACCATTGAAGGCTGCTGCATTGGTGTTCAGATCAAGTGGACTGCCTCTTGCATAGGATGCAACATGACCATCAGCAAAGCACAACTTGAAAGTGAAACTGTAACTTGTAACAACTGCAACATGACTACTCTTTCAAGCATTTGCAATACAAAATTAGTTGCTCAAATTGTCATTCAAACTATGCAGGAGAAAAAGATTCTCACATTTACCTGCTTTAATGATGCCATAAGCAGCTTCCTCATAACAACTGACTCCCAGATGTCGTTATCTAATATCCCACCAGAAGACTTACAGAAAATCATGTTGCAGGCAGGGAATTAGAAAATTATAGCAGACAAAACAACTCAAGTAATTTCACAGTTCCTCCCCTTACATTGATATTAAGATTTATAATACATGTACAGCCAATAGTGAATCACAGATTTAAGGAAAACTGTAACTTGTACCAAGTGCAACATAACTGCCCTTCCAAGTATTTGCAATACAAGAGTTATCTATTTGCTCAAATTTTCGTTCAGTCCAGGGCGGATAAAAAATGCACAAGTTTACTTGCTTTAATAATGCTATAAGTAGCTTCCTAATAACAAAAGACTTTCAGATGACGTCTGATATCCCATTATAAGGCTTGAAGAAAATTATGTTACAGGCAGAGGAAAAAACCATGCAATATACCAGACCAACAACTTCAGTGATTTCGAAGTTCCTCCCCTAATTAAGTGATATTAAGATGTATGAACATTAACTCTCCTTTTCTTAAACTCTCATTCAAGCTCTGCGAAACAAAAAGATAGTAAAGTTTACTTGCTAATGACACTATAAACAACGTAATCAGTTAGTAATTACATGACTTAAACAAAATTATGTTCCAGGGAAAGCATAAAAATTTTAAAACCAACAAAACCACACAAATGGTTCAAGAGCACTACCTTCCGTAAATATTGTAGTTGTGTTATACAATNCTATGTCATAAGGTAAACTAATTTCATTGTTTCACTTGTTACTTTTAACTTTATATTTTATATCTTGTAAATGTTGAGAACACTGCTTTTAAGCAACTTATATGAACTTTCACATCAATTTCTAAAAACCCGTTGTTAATACTAAAAACGATCAGTATTGCAATGACCTGTATTTGAGTTCATTAATAAAAATGTTGCTATTTACTTGGGTAGTCTTGTTTTTCTTCTTTTTCTGCTCATTAACTATAGCGTTTCTGCCCCGACGATTTTCTAATAAATTCTTTCAATGCCTTCAATCTTCACCACCAGCATCCACACGCAGTTTGCAACTGCCTTTTGTTCGAATTTGGAGCACTCTTAAGCACTTAATTCACTTTTGAGCAGAATTTTGAGCATTTCTCGGGAAACATTTCAGCACATTTTTCACAATTTTCCATATGTTAAATACAATATTTTGTCTTTGAAACGTTTCCAGTAAAGCCGAGTAATTTTATTATCATTAGCATGAATTATGAATAATTCCATTTTGTCGCCTGACTGGCTGACTGTTGTCATGGAAATGCACGAGCTATGGTCCTTTTAACCGTAAGAACAGTCGATTTTGATTGGTTCGTGACTTCGATATAGTAGATTGAAGAGAGACTAATAACAGTTGTAGCTAAACGGTTGATTGCATACAGTTGTGCGATGCTGTGTCCTTTAGAAGCTATGCTTGACTGATAATAAAGAGTTTTTGTTCCATAAACGTCGCTAATGTTTGTTAAAAAAAAACTCGATCTTTATATACTTTATGGTCACCTCAGTATATTAGAAAATCGAGAGTAAAGAGTTTGAAAAAGCTAGGAATATGCATAAACCTCTGCTAGGAAATAATAATAATAATAATGAAAAAAACGCAACCGAGAACAACTTTCGTGTACTATTTCTGAATTTCAAGCACTTTTCATAGAAAGCGAGCACTATTTGGGCACTTTTTGGCGATTTTTCCAGCGCAATCGGGACAGGCCTATCCTAGTTCAGCTCCTCGAGTATAGATACTTTTTTTATTGAATCTGCTGGAGAGGACCTGTGCAATTACGTAAACCATCTACGTGATCTACTGCGGACGGAAATTACTTTCCTTCAGAGATTCAGCTCCCCTGAATCTCCTCTTGAAGCTCAACGAGGGCCGAGGGGGAGGGAGGGGGGGGGTTATTTTCAACAATGTCATTTGGAGAGACTTTCTCCAGTGGAATGCTACAAAACAGTAATGACAATTAATTTATTATTATTTTTATTTTTCATTATCATTATGATAGGAACCATTTCAACGGCCAAAAAATACCGAGGCTGAGAAATATCCTGTTCTCACAACCCCACGCCTATTCATAAACCTGCCATGTGTATACTTTAGCCAGTGCCTAGAATACTGTGGTGCCGCCCATTAATTCCTTCGGCATCATCAATTTCAAGGAGCGTATCTCTCTCCACAAACCCTAAAAAGCTTTAATTAGTCCGGACCACGACAGGAGAGTGCGCCAGGGGACTGGAACCCACCTCTCTCAGAATTACTCGACTCCTGTGCATTGATCCATCCATATCGTTTTAGTGTTCGCACCTGAGCAAAATGTATGCGTACTTTGCCGAAAAATGGAACGGTTGTTTTGATAAGGAAAAAGTACAGAAAGAACGGGAAGATGAAGAACAGAAAAAACGGGAAGAAAGAGAACGAAAAGAGCGCGAAGAAAGAGAACGAAAAGAACGCGAAGAAAGAGAACGAAAAGCACGAGAAAGAGAACGAAAAGCACGAGAAAGAGTAACGAATGACATCCATAGATTGCGAAATGAAATGGAAGTGGACGCACGTGCCCACTATTTGTGCGCAGAATATTACGAGAAGTGGAAGTTTTTCCTATTTGTCTCTCTTCTTATCGTAGGAGGGGCATTGGCAGGTTATGAGGCACTGCAGGTTCTCGGCTGGAAAGTGCCGTTGTTAGTCGATCTTTGCTCAAAGAAGGTTGCCATTGCCGTCTTCGCCCTCGGTGCTGCCACATATGTCACCAAAAAGTGCTACAATGCGGTGGCTGATTCACACGTGAAGCACTACCAAGCGGAGAGGAATTGCCAGGGTATCGTAGAAAAAGCGAAATCTCTTTTGCAAAGAGCTTTATCCAGCGAATCTGCGAGTTCTCTGAGGGATAATTATGATGAACTCTTGCATGAAAAGAAACATTCCAGCGAGATACGACCTGAACAATGGGCTAATCGAGAGGCATTGAAGAAATGAAATGGAGACAGCGGGTAAATAACCAGCAATAACTAAAAAAAAGTCCAGTTTAGGGATGTATGCGAACTGCAGTTCCTGCTACTTTTGTTATAGACTTTATATTCAACTTTGTACTTTGCGTAAATTAGAACTGAAGATGTATATTTTCGTCAGTAAATTCGTGACATATCTGCCACTATCCAATTCGTACTGTATAGTGAACTAAGATGTTTTGTTTCTGAATGAATTGGTAACTTTATTTCGATAGAAAGTTGATTAAGTGGACGCAAATAAGATTCATGTTGGTAAGGTTTCTGAGAAACATCACAAAGAGAAAATAGAGTGCAGTATCATTTTCAATTAGAGAAATGAAAAATATCACACAACTAGCAAGACTAAAGAGTGTTAAATAGTTCCCTTGGGATACGTCATTAATTATAATAGCTTATTCAAGATGATTTAGTAGATAAATAAAGATTTTTCGCTCCAACACGGAAGAGCCAATGATGTGTGACAAGTTTCGTTTGGTTTGCATTCCTGCAAGGAATACG